CGGCGGAGGCGGAGGAAGAGAGAGCGGGAGCCCTGGGAGGCCGGGCGCCGCCATGGAACTGGGCCCGGAGCCCCCGCACCGCCGCCGCCTGCTCTTCGCCTGCAGTCCCCCTCCCGCGCCGCAGCCCGTCGTGAAAGCGCTGTTCGGCGCACCAGCCTCCGGGGGCCTGTCGCCTGTCACCAACCTGACGGTCACCATGGACCAGCTGCAGGGGCTGGGCAGGTGAGGAGGGACTGGCGAGCGGTGCCGCAGGCCGCTGGGCTCCCAGACGGCTCTCGGGGGGGGATCCGGCTGGGAAACGGGCCCGGAGCGGGGCGAGACCTGTCCGCCGCTCGTGGGCCGCCCGGCTGATTTGGGGCCCGCCATGTGCACCCTCCCCCCAGGCGGAATGTTGGGCGGGAGAGGCCGTTCCGACCCTCCAGGGCCGCCCTCAGCCCCGAGCCGGGCCCGGTGGGGGGTGGGGTCGGCCCGGGTTCCCCACCTTGGCCACCCCTTTCAGATTGCTTTGTACTCTTCTGTCCCAATCCCAGGAAGCTCTTTGTAATCTACCCCACGGGGGCAAAGCGGACCCTTTCAGGCGCTCACTTCTACCCTTTGCTGAACCATCTCGAAGGATCTTAGCTTCCTGCGAGCTTTGTTCCTTCTCTACAGAGAGACATGGCATTTTCTTAACTGGAGTACGTGCAAAATCATCTCCGTTCCTTAGCCCGTGCACATTCCTGATGTCCACCCCTGCTTTCCTAAGGCCAGGCCTTTTTATTCAACTTTCCATCCTCAAAAGCTCCCTGGACTTTTCCTTATGGCAAAACATGCATCCCACGGTGTTTCTGGTGGAGCTGATTACCCTACAGTTTTGGACGTCCCATTTTCTCTGTAAGCACATGTCTTGTACGTTTTCCAACCTCTGAAAAGCAGGAACTTGTCTGATTCATCTTTCATCCTAGCAGGTACCTAGAACACATGCTCTCATTTCAGGAAATACTCCAACATCATAGTCCTCTTGTCTACGGCCTGACCCGGGCCATGCCTACCCACTCCATTCTCATCTTTTATATTCAAGGGCTAACTGGGTGTTTTGGGTGGCAAAATGGGGTCTGTGGTGTGGCCTTAGAAGTAGATGGTTAAGAGCAGCCTGGATACTTGCTAACCTCATGGCCTGTCTCCTGTATGTAACCTTGCAATTCGGTTTTAGAAATACATAGAATTCTTTCTCATGCTTTCAGTGAATATGAACAGCCGCTGGAGGTGAGAAACAGCAGTCTGCAGAGAATGGGCTCCTCTGAGTCAACCGATTCAGGTATTCCTGTAGTCTTGAACATTTATTATGTGTTTACTACATGGGGATCAAAACTTGGGAGTTTGTTGTAACGTGCGCTTCACCTAGGAACTTAGTTTGGTGACGAGTTGAGACAGTAAACAAGAGTCATGGCATTCCGTGACAAATACCCTTAAAACAGGACAAAGAAGGCCCTATGGTAGTTTATGGAGGAAACAAGTGTCCAGTGTCTGCATGGAGGTGGTGTGTGCTTGATCTTGAGGATGAGTAGTTGGGTAAAATGAACTATAACACCAAGACCAGAAAAGCGTATTGGTTGAAACACAGAGTCAAATTATTGTTTCAGTGAGCCTGCTATGGAGGAAATGGACCAGTGCATTTTACTCGAATTCATAAATTCATGGTTATATTTGCACAGATGCTTTAGGTTAGGGAATAAGAGCAAAGGTCTTAAAAATGTAGACTTTTTTTTTTTTTTTTAAAGATTCCAGTTATTTATTTGACAGAGAGAGACAGCGAGAGAGGGAACACAAGCAGGGGGAGTGGGAGAGGGAGAAGCAGGCTTCCCGCCGAGCAGGGAGCCCGGTG